ACTACAGTCATGAAAACAGGACATCAGTGATCTTCAGGTCGGAGCTCTAGAAAGAGGCCTGAGTTCCCGACTTGGAATTCCGAGTTGGATGACCGTTCAAAACGCATTTTTTTCCTTGTTCCCAGTTGTTTTGAACTCACTGAAGTCTGAGATTTCCCAGTTCCGAGTTTCCAGTTGTTTTGAACGCGGCAGAAATCATGCTGGATTGACAGCATGGTCAATGTATTCAAACTTGAAGCTGGTTGAGAGAATGCCAAGAGAGTGCAAAGCTGTCATCAAGGCAAAGGGTGGCTACTTTGAAGAAACTCAAATATAAAATATATTTTGATTTGTTTAACACTTTTTGGGTTGCTACATGATTCCATATGTGTTATTTCATAGTTTTGATGTCTTCACTATTATTCTACAATGTAGAAAATAGTAAAAAATAAAGAAAAACCCTTGAATGAGTAGGTTTGTCCAAACTTTTGACTGGTTCTGTACATTGTATCGCTCTCTGATTCAGAGGGGTTGGGTTAAATGCGGAAGACACATTTCAGTTGAATGCATTCAGTTGTCCAACTGACTAGGTATCCCCCTTTCCCTCTCCTTTCCTTTTCATTTACTCAAGTGTTTCCATTATTTTGGCAGTTACCTGTATATGTTTAAGACTATCTGCCTTTCCCCCTGAGTAGATAATGTGTGTCGTCAATCACCAATCAGGATATTACTTTATTCCAAATGTATTAATACGGGAGCAGGTCACCACACACACACAAGTGAATAGAGTGCTCTGCAATAATGAGGCTGGCCGACCCAACACTCTTGAGCGTTGGACCGAGAGCTCTGACATACAGAGATAAACAGAGGTCTTATATAGTAGACCTATAAATGCTTAGTCATGGCTGGTTCCACCACAACTTTCTCAATGTGTCGAACCAACCGATATCTACCGGATGAGGTGGCCAAATATTCTGTCCTCTGTGTTCTCTTGCAAGTATTAAGAACTGTTTGTTCTTAGAATAGAGGATAAGAAGAGACTTCGTTCGGAACAGAGATACCTTGTATCCGAACATGCAAGTTTCAGAGTACAGAGGGTGAGGGTAAGAACACGAGATGTGCACAGCCGTGGTGGACCAGGTACAGAGATATGTTAAAACAGCAACTTACACAACCAGAGTAACAGGACTGTACACACCTATCATTTATATTAACCTTAAAGTAATGCTAATACACATGTTCTCTCTCACATACCCCTCTTAAGAAACACAGTTTCTTCTATAAAAATGTAAGGGTTCAAGCATTACATAATTATTGTTAAGCATACATTCAAACTAACAAAATACTTCCTTCTTGTGCCTGACATTTCATCCATGGTAAACAAACTTCCTTTGAGTTTAATACCTTATTTTTCAAAACCCAGTCAATCTGGAAAATAATCAAACCCATAAACTCCTGAGTGGCGCAGTGGTCTAAGGCTGTGCCACTAGCTGTGCCACTAGAGATCCTGGTTCGAATCCAGGCTCTGTCGTAGCTGGCCGCGACCGGGAGAACCATGGGGTGGCGCACAATTGGCCCAGCGTTATCCAGGGTAGGGGAGGGAATGGCCGGCAGGGATGTAGCTCAGTTGGTAGAGCATGGCGTTTGCAACGCCAGGGTTGTGGGTTCGATTCCCACGGGGGGTATGAAAGAATATATTAAAAATAATGTATGCACTCACTAACTGTAAGTCGCTCTGGATAAGAGCGTCTGCTAAATGACAACAACAAAAAATACACAGTTAACATCATACACAAGCTGCATTACAGCAAATAGGACAATCATCACGTTTAGAATCCTTCCTGTGACAGAGACCCCTCTCTGGGCACTTGGCACACACAGTGTGGAACATGAGCTCCACATCTGGGTCCTTATGCTCAGGATTGAGGTCCTTATCATCAGAGATGTAATAAGGAATAGGTCAGGGAAATCATTCAGTTTCCAAATCATAATTAAAACCCAATTAATTATCCAACCCGAATTTAGAATGACATTGCTCAGTGATTCACGTTGGTTCCATCACTCAGAGTTAAAACCCTCAACTTAGCACACATCGGCACTAGCAGAATTTACATGAACATACAGTATAATTATCCATAATTCTAGCATTAACTTTCTCATCACGGTTATAATTACAGATCAGTACCTCAATGCATTTTTTGTCTAAATTACTATACATTTCGCAGTGTGTAGACCTCTACAATCAACTTGATACCCCAAATAAAGAACTTTGGACAAGTCCAAATCAATTATGGGCACAGTTGACCAACCCCCTCCCTCCCCGGCATTCAATCTTCTGGTGTTTCTTTATAGCTTCACACTTCATTTTCCCAATGGCACAAATGTTCAAAGTGGATGGCCCATGATAATGTCTCTCACCTGAGCCGCCCCTGTCCTTTACAGTCCATTATGTCTTGTCCATTTGCCAACCAGCAACATGAGAGAAGTTTGGAACGGATCTCTCTCCATGCTCACTCCACGTGGACTCCTGTCGCACTCCTGAGAGAAAAGGCATGAGAGAACAAGCAGTTGATAGCTTTGACTGGATGCTGTGTACAGGTTGCTGGCTCGGACTCAGGTCTCACGGTAGAAGTGGTGAAGGACCATACTGAACGCCATTTTCGCCTCTTCAGCCGGTCAGAGGAGGTTGAGGTCCACACTGTTTGGTCAAATTGTCCCATGCATCTAGATACCATCTGTGGTCATCTTTGCCATAACCTTGATGAGAGGACAGATCAGAACAACCGCCTGGTCTCATAGACTAGACGTAACATAGTAAATGTAAATATGTGACACTCAAATTAGTATGATATGTTACATTTGGTATGGTTACATAAGACATATGGTTACTTAAGGCAAAAACAAAAGTACGTTGGTTGGTCGGGGTAGGTGGGCGTATAACGCGAACAAAGGTTGCGAGTTTGAATCTGATCACGGACAACTTTAGCATATTAGCTAATTAGCAACTTTTCAGCTACTTACTCATTTTAAGCTACTTTGCAACTACTTCCCATGTTAGCTAAGCCTTCCCTAACCCTAACCCTAACCTTAACCCTTTTAACTAACCCTTCCCCTAACCCTAACCTTTACCCTTGAACCTAACCTATAAACTTAACCCTAACCTTAACCCTAACTCCTAGCCTAGCTAACGTTAGCCAGCTAGCTAACCTTAGCTACTAGCCACCTAGCTAGAATTCGTAAGATATCATACATTTAGAAAATTCATAACACATTGTACATTTTGCATAATGGGTGATGGACATCCACAAATTAATACATACCATACGAAACGTAACATACTGTATCATACTAAATGGACTGTCTCGGATTAACGTACAGACTAATACTAAATGCTCTGAGACCAGGTTGAATATCAATGATTGGCAGTCTTAATTCTTCGCCAATTGATCATTGTGCCAAATGTTTAATTTTTTTTTTAAACGTAGATAATTTCCCTATAGACAGAACAGCTAGGCCTGTCCATCAAGCCTAGCAAGACATTGCCACCCCCCATCAGGTCTGAAATTACTGGCATTAGGCCTATGTCAGGTTGTCTCCAGGGGGACGCATGTCAAGAGAAATGTCCCTGTCCATGGTGCTGAAATTGAGCCCGTTATTTGCCGTGCATATTCTCAAAGTAGCCAATATGATATCGTAGGAACCCTGGCTGGAATAAACAAGCTTTGGTGCCACTCCAACATTTGTCTAACCAAAAGTACAGTCATTTTAATATTCATAATAAAGACGCTCCTGTCCTGTCTCTGCCTTCGGACTACTGCTATATCGATCCTGGCAAAAGTCGATATTGGGTACGGCCACTCCTTCCAATAAGCTGCATTCGAGTCGTACGATCATCTCGCGTGTTCCGGTCATGAAGTCTTGTTTTCATCATACGACAGTAGACTACTGTACCAGCTCAACCAGCGCAACCCAACGGACGATGCAGGAGAGAGATGCTGCTCCTGTCGAAATGTATCGCTCTCCGTTACCATACGTTACACAGATGTAGGCTACAATCTACTTGTTTATGGTGACCTTGTTATGAGTATTTTGGCAATAACTGTGACTGACGCAGCGAGATGGTGCGGCAGTAACGAAGACATATTTATCCTGTTGTAGCCTCCCAGGACGGTTGTGCGATGCGTCGCTGATCTGCAATTGTTTCTGTATAAAGGCTATCATTGATTGATTCGTCATCTTTCGTTCTTTAAAAAACGTTGTCGCCTGCAAATAAGGTTGGCTTGAGCTCAATTATTGGACGAATAGCCTAAATGGGTTTGGAACATTCCTGGAAAACAATCATGTATGGATCAAAGGACTTGTTTATAGCACTTATGAATTTCATATCGTAATTCTGTGGGACTCCGTTCAACATTATCTAAAATAGCACGGTAAGCATGGATCATTTTCATAACATTGCCACATATATTGAGTGTATTGTAGGCATGTAGTAATCTACTGTAAAATTGAATTATACTGGTACTAGAACTGTCAACATACTGTAACCTACCTATTGCGTTGGTTTCTTCCATCTCTCTATTGGGTGATCAATGAACCTTTTACTGCATGACCTTAATGGTGAACTCAAACACACTTTATCTTACCTGACATCACCATCATCAATCAGTGTTGGTTTTTTATTTATCTTAGAATAAATGAAGACTTCCGTGTTTCTCTTGTTGTAATGCTTATTGAAAATGTATGTCAGGTGATATTCTAACCTGCATTGTAAATTAAGATTAAATAATTAACCTACAGTGAAGGTCAATAAAGAAAAGGGAAAGATACTGCAAATGCATCATTACACACACACACACACACACACACACACACACACACACACACACACACACACACACACACACACACACATCTGGAATACTTCCTTTTGTTATTGTTCATCATTAGTAGCAGGAAAGTGATACTTATACACATGCAGGTATAATGTATATTAACGCCCTCTGACCCCGTTCTCTGTGCAGGGTGCAGGACAGGTGTGTCATCATGGAACATACAGGCTCCACCTTGGACATGCAGATGGAGAGTGTTGAGAGGAGTACAGTGTTTCTCAGACAGGAACATCTCACCCTACTGCATGGCCTACACCAGGAGATCCTGTCCTTGCAGAAACGATGCACCGGTGAGTCTATACATCACACACACACACACACACACACACACACACACACACACACACACACACACACACACACACACACACACACACACCGTATGCACACGTGCGCACAAACACACACACACACAGATCAAATTAGACTAGTGGAGTAGACAGTGACCCTCTTTACAACAACAGCGCTACTGCCAAGTCAAGCAGAGGCAGACCTCACTGCAGAACAAGATGTAGCCAAGAAGGCAATGAAGCATCCCTATGGATGCATCCCTTCTCTTCCTCTCTTCTTCTCTGCACTCAGCTCTCCTACTGTTCAGTTAAAGGGCATCACCACATGTTGTTGTGGTTTGACTGACAGACTAGGCCCATACACAGCAAAGATGCTAAAGCCTTCAAAGCTTAGATACAAACTCAATGTAGCCTACTGTACTAGTCTGTCAGCGCAATCAATTTGTTTTCTTGGGACTATTAACTTTAACTTGAACAGAGCAGGTTTACCTCAGTGAATCCTCCCCCACTACAGCCAGGGTTTCCATGAAAGGGAACCACAGATTAATACCTTCCTGTTCCTGGCAGTCAGGGGGTCTGATTCCCCCTCTGGAGTCATCCTCTCTGCTTGGGTTCATCTATCCATCCTCCTCTTTCTCTTTTGTCCTTCCTTTCTCTTTCTGTCTTTCGTTCTCTCTCTCTCCCTCCTCTCTTTTTCTCTCTCTCTCTCTCTCTGTGGGGGTTGATGGGCTTTTCTGAGCAGGCAAAGGAGGGTGATAGGTTAAAGGATTTACTGTGCTTATTTTGGGAGGTAAACTGTCTATTCATCCCAGCAGGCGAGTGAGAGGGAATAGACAGGGAAAGAAAATAAATACTGTACCGTATATTTTAGTGTTTGTCCTTGAGGGCAACCCAAGCATGGCGTCTGTCTGTGCTGACTGGAGAAGTGCTTAGAGTCCACCCAGCTAAACATAATCAGTTTAACTCAATGTGATTACTGTTTGTCCAGTCTACACAAGGCCCTAATCACGTCTCTCTGAACTGTCTGCAATCAAGTTAATTGACAGACTAGACGCAAACAAACAGATTGGACATTCACTGCTTCAACAGCACTACAGTTATGATTAAGGATTAACATGGGTAACAGGGATCCCGGGACTGTCCCGGGAATACTTCACATTTCCCGAAAAAATGTAATGAAAGACCCAGGAAATTACAACATTGTGCCCCAATGTTGGCACTAATGCAGGCCCTACACATGCGCAATATCAGATTAGAAAAAAATGGCACATTATCCAAACAAGTTGTCACATGGAAACCTTTAGCCTAGCGCATTTATTTCACACAAAGTCGCTATAAATTCAAAGTGCACGCATAATTGACACTGCCGGACTGCACACCGACCTGAATGCAGTTAACCACACTGACCTACAGGAAACCCCTACAGTAGGCCTATAGACTATAAAATAATGTGTGCCTCTTTGCGCTCTCATTGTGAATCTTCAGACAGTCACAGATTTGATAGGCCTATACACATTTTACTACATAGGCATCTCTGTCACAGATATGAAGTCTGTTAACAATTCAGAGATGCATTAGGAAAATTATCCTGTCCTAGAGCCTAGGCTATTTTCCTATCCAGTCCCAATCCCACTGAAACCTAAAATCCTGACTCCTGTCTCGCATGAAAATTCCTAAATGTATTCTGTAATCCATAGGTTGCATTATCAAAGCACGTCTCGCCTATACATGTCAAAATACCGCAATAACATTTCCCCTGCTTCTCTGCGCAGTCTCATAGCCTAGCATACTTACTGTCCATATGAGTGCTGAGGAAATATTCTGTCGACAAGTATTTTGCTCCGCTCATACAGGAGTAATAAAGGCCTAGTGCACAATTTTGTAAATCTTTTTTTTAGTGCTGCACACCCTCAGCACCCCTACTTCCCGCGGCTTTTATGGGCACTTCCAATTTCTGCTGTATTTCCCGGGACTCTCAGGATAAATATGAATTATTCCTGGTATTGACACTCTGTAGATTTTTAGGAAATATTAATCCCTAGTTTCAATTAGCATTAGCATTTAGAGTCTTTCAATGAGACACATCAGATTGAATGCTTTCCTTTCTATTTATTATTTATGTAAATTCCTGAAATCTATCTATTTGTCTCCTAGACTTACTCATATTACTCATTTCTGTCTCACTGATTTCTAATTTCTTGTCTGTTTTCTCAGAGTTGACATGTGAGCTGAATGTGAAGCCTCCAGGCAAGAGTGAACTGGGTAAGTTCTGTGTCTCTCTACAAAATTGACATTATGCTAAAATCTTATCTTAGATAATTACAGAGACAGAGGGGGTGGGAGGGAAAGGGTGGTGGAGAGAAAGAAAGGAGGAGATGGGGGGGGTCATGCCCATCTGCAGCCAATTATAACTCATCAGGACACCCCTATTTTTCCAGAGCAGGCCATCCTTCGCTCTATCTCTCCACCACAGTCCCCACTCCTCCATCCTCGCAAATTGATCCATCCATTTTTCCTCCCCTCTCATGTTCCTCTGCGCCATGGTGGAGGGATCCAATTACAGTCTGTTTGCTGAGACAGAGAGATGGAGGGACAAGGGAGGAAGGCAGGGAGTGGGGAGGATGGTACAGTTAGGGGGGCACAAGAAAGTGTTAGAGGGACAGTAAGAGAGAGGGAGAGATAAAGTGGTAAAGAGAGAGAGAGAGAGAGAGAGAGAGAGAGAGAGAGAGAGAGAGAGAGAGAGAGAGAGAGAGAGAAGGAGGGGAGGGGAAAGGAGGGAGAAATGGAGATTAGATTACACTGCATTTTCTATATTTGGAACATGACCTCACCACCCTGGTGTAGTGGGCGACAGTTAGACAGAGACCAGGGAGAACTACACCCAGGAGAGAGCTGGGGTTCCCAGAGAGAGGAGGAGGGAGGGAAAGATAATGAGCAAGGGGGGAGGGGGTGCAAGGAGTGAAGGGCGGGAGGGGAGAAACAGAGATGTAGAAAGAGACGGAGGAAGGGGAAGGGGAAAGAGAAGAGGGGGAGGGAGGGAAAGAGAAGGAGAAAGGGGGTACTCAGAGAGAGGGGGAGGGAGGGAAAGAGACGGAGGAAGGGGAGGAGGGGTGCAAGTAGTGAAGGGTGGGAGGGGAGAAACAGATAAGTAGAAAGACAAATCTGTAAAATAGAGATTGGGATCGAGAGAAGAATGTAGACAGAGGGATGGAGAAACAGGTACAGGATGAGAGAGACTGGTACAGAGAGAGGGATTAAATGTGATGAGAGGAGAGAAGAACAAGAGAAAGAGAGGAGGGTGAGAAAGGAGATAGAGAAAGGAAGGGCTACTTACAGTTGAAGTCTGAAGTTTACATACACCTTAGCCAAATAAATTAAACTCTGTTTTTCACAATTCCTGACATTTAATCCTAGTAAACATTCCCTGTCTTAGGTCAGTTAGGATCACCACTTTATTTTAAGAATGTGAAATGTCAGAATAATAGTAGAGATAATTATTTATTTCAGCTTGTATTTCTTTCATCACATTCCCAGTGGGTCAGAAGTTTACATACACTCAATTAGTATTTGGTAGCGTTCCCTTTAAATTATTTAACGTGGGTCAAACGTTTCAGGTAGCCTTCCACAAGCTTCCCACAATAAATTGGGTGAATTTTGGCCCATTCCTCCTGACAGAGCTGGTGTAACTGAGTCAGGTTTGTAGGCCTCCTTGCTCGCACACGCTTTTTCACTTCTGCCCACAAATGTTCTATAGGATTGAGGTCAGGGCTTTGTGATGGCCACTCCAATACCTTGACTTTGTTGTCCTTAAGCCATTTTGCCACAACTTTGGAAGTATGCTTGGGGTCATTGTCCATTTGGAAGACCAATTTGCGACCAAGCTTTAACTTCCTGACTGATGTCTTGAGATGTTGCTTCAATATATCCACATCATTTTCCTTCCTCATGATGCCACCTATTTTGTGAAGTGCACCAGTCCCTCCTGCAGCAAAGCACCCCCACAGCATGATGCTGCCACCCCCGTGCTTCACGGTTGGGATGGTGTTCTTCGGCTTGCAAGCTACCCACTTTTTCCTCCAAACATAACGATGGTCATTATGGCCAAACAGTTCTATTTTTGTTTCATCAGACCAGAGGACATTTCTCCAAAAAGTACGATCTTTGTCCCCATGTGCAGTTGCAAACCGTAGTCTGGCTTTTTTATGGCGGTTTTGGAACAGTGGCTTCGTTTTCTGGAATTTTCCAAGCTGTTTAAAGGCACAGTCAACTCAGTGTATGTAAACTTCTGACCCACTGGAATTGTGATACAGTGAATTATAAGTGAAATAATCTGTCTGTAAACAATTGCTGGAAAAATTACTTGTGTCATGCACAAAGTAGATGTCCTAACCGACTTGCCAAAACTATAGTTTGTTAACAAGAAATTTGTGGAGTGGTTGAAAAACAAGTTTTAATGACTCCAACCTAAGTGTATGTAAACTTCAACTGTATATGGATATCAGGTTCCTCCTATTCTAAACGTAATGTAGCAATCCTAATATAGGCCTAACGAACATCCCTACTGATCATTTTACAATGATTTCACATCAAAGTTTCAACTAATCACAGCACCTTTTGCTCCTCTTTTTGTGGGATTCTCTCTTCCCATCCGTCTTCTTTGACCTAATTCTTGGGTCAACCAGCGTACCAGAGGCTGTGGTGTAATCCCTCTCCCCTGGCACAGCTGTCTGAGCTCGGCAGCCTCAGCCCAAAGGCACAGCTGTCTGAGCTCGGCAGCCTCAGCCCAAAGGCACAGCTACAGTACAGCTACAGCTAGGTCTGACTAAGGCTTTTTTAAACCCCCATTCCTATTGGAGGATTTCACTGTGATGGAGTACTGTAGCTTTGACTTTGCTCCAAAAGCGCAGCAAATTTTGTACACTGATTTTAGACTAGCTGTCACGCCCTGGCTCTGGGGACTCTTTAATGTTGAGCCAGGGTGTTAGTTCCTATGTTTAGTTGTTCTATGTGTTTATTCTAGATCGTTTAGATCTATGTTGGCCAGGGTGGTTCCCAATCAGAGGCAGCTGATTCTCGTTGTCTCTGATTGGGTACCATACTTAGGCAGCCTGTTTTGCACAGTTGATTGTGGGATCTTGTTCTGTATAGGTTTGTGTTGGTGAACCTTTAGACTTCACGTATCGTTTTGTTGTTGGTGTAAAGTACTCATTAAAAGATGTACGCCTACCACGCTGCGCCTTGGTCCGGTTCCTAAAACGATCGTGACACTAGCGGTTAAAACTGGATACAGTGACGTTATCACAGCCAATTCCTGGTGTAATGATGACATCAGTGCAGCCAATTTTGTCCGCTGGGAAAGTAGGTATTATTGGGTTGAGGGGGCTATCAGTATGTTACTACATTGAATGTTATATCGGCCACCAACCCACCAAAACAATCACCTTCCTTCCCCTCCCATCACACCACCACTGCATGTGAGCCAGTCTGCTCTCTTCACTCTCTCTCTATAGTGGGTAAGTGGCAGCAGATGGCACACCCTGCCAGTGGCCATGCCGTTGCTGGTAGAGATTGGGTGGTGGATACTGGCAGGGATTTGCTCAATGGCTCTTTAATCCTTTCCCCATATGTGCTCAGTCTTCTGCCTTTGTCCAGGCAATCCCTAAACCCACATACCATTTCCTATCTGCCAGATTATCCAAAAATGTGCTTTGAGGCCAAATTGGTGATTGAAAGCAGCCAGCGCTGGTCACATTACCTAATTCCATATCCATTTGACTGACTGGATCATATCCAGGCAGTGTGTTATCGTTCTGTATGTGCTCTATGCTCTGTTCTCTGGTCCTATGTCCAGATGTCCAGGAGGTTGGGGGATGGGGTTAGGAGGAGTTATCTGTGTGGTCAATATGTCAGCATGAGTAATAGATGCCAAATACACACTGACCTTAATGTAAATCCTGGCAGCCGCATTTAAGGCTTGTTTTTCTGTCTGAATGTTAGCTATCTGTCTGTGAATCTCTGATGCGTCCTTACTATTTAACTTTTGTGTGCTTATCTGCTTGTGTGTTCGTGTGTTCGTCCTCAGACCTGGCGGAGGAGGAGGAGCAGTTGGAGGCCCGCTGTCTGGAGGTCGAAGATCGCCTGGCCGAGCAGCAGTGCACCCTGGGAGAGCTGCGTAAGGAGCTGACTCACAAGGGGGCGCTGGTAGGCACGCTGCGGGCTAACCTCAAGGAGAAGGAGCGCCGCTTCCTGGACGAGCTGAAGCGCCGCAGCCAAAGCTCCACGGTGCTCAACACAGAGCTGCAGAAGCAGACCGAGGCGGCAGCCTACCTCTCCTTCCAGCTGCACGCCGCCCGCCAGAAACTCCACCACCAGCGGCTGCAGCAGAGGCAGCAGGCACTCAGGGAGAACCAGGAGAATAGGGATCGTCGTCATGGGAAACCCCCTGGGCTCCAGTACAGCCAAGCAGCCGAGTGGGACACCGCCACCTTTTCTCCCTTTTCTCCTCAGTCGCCCTCCGGTTTCTCCAATGCCACCAACGCCAGCTCCGCCATAGCCTCCCCTGTGGTCAAGCCTAAACGCAGGGGCTGCAGGACCACGTCAGGGCACCATCTCCGGGCGGAGAGGGCCAGGGAGTGTGTCCCCCAGGAGAGGGTGACGGGTCCCGCAGAGCCCACCGCCATGCCTGACCCAGCGCTGTTCCTCCACCCTCACCGCAGGCACCACATGTCCAGGGCCAGGCATTCCCACTTCCCGGCCCACAGACAGCCTCCTCTGGTGGGGGAAAGAGGGGAGGAGGAGGGGGGTGGAGAGGGGCCCATGGAGCCCCAGGATGGCGCTCCTCCCAGACTGGCAGCCACGGCCAGAGCGCCACCTGCTGGCTGCTCAAACCAAGGCTGAATAACCAGCCCCACTGTGACCATCCCTAGAAATGCATCATCACTAGCATCATCATCATCACTATCATCATAATCATTGTCATCATCATCATCATCGCTATCCTCATAATCACTATGACTATCTGATTTTATTAATACTGTAAATTGACCATTGTCCTGCACCTTGATCGAATTGATACTGAGATTAATTTAGCATTGTTGATTATAATCCTATTAACTCTAATTACTGGTATTTAGATGAATTGCTATGATGAACACTTTTTATAATTATACATATTGACATAAACTGAATTAACCCAAACTTCCAAGTGTACGAACACACAATAAGGTTGTTGTTGCTAATCACTTCACGTCAATTACACTGGCGTTGCTCTATATAACGTTATTATGGGGCCTTATTCGAGTGTGGCATCCTTTGTGGAGGTTAGTTTAACCTATGGCCTGTAGCCATAGACCACAGCACCTACTGTGCATTTACCTTACCCTTCTGTGTCGTTTTAGGGCCAACCATAAATCAACCCTGGATTGCCCTTGTAGAAAACATTTTCTGACCTCTGTTGCACTGAGTCACAGTTGGGTAGTGTCTGAGCATCTGTGTATGTCCTTGCTGTGAACACTATTGATCTTTTAGATCTGCATCGGTGGCCTTCACTGGAAAAGGTCCCACAGGGCCAAGAGGTGTAGTCATGCCGTCATATCCCACTGAATCTTTCTTTATTCCATTGGTCATACAATAGGTATGCCTAAAGCACACTATATATGTTATACAATAATTGAAAGTCACAGTATTCCACTGGCCTCACACACAGATCTTAGTGGGTTTCAAATATATTGTGCCTCTGAGTTTTTAAAAAACACCTTAGGGAAAATAGACAGAGAGGAATATTGTTTATAGATGGTTTTGTTGCTGTTTTTGTTTTGGGTTGAATTTAGGTTGTCTGATTTGATTTCACTATTACTAGTCAAGCAAAAAGGGTTGTTAGGGCCTTCTGGCAGATGTGTCTCTTGTCTCAGATAGCTGAGAAGAGAAAATGCTCAGTTTCTTAAATAAAGGGTTCATATTGGTTATCTACATGGTAGATTCCAAGCTGTTGAAAGACATTAGTTGACACTATGGAACCAGCCAATGACATTGATTTGCACTTGGCGGACCCTAGTGGTGTAGTGAGAGAATAGCACCCAAACAGATGAAGATGTGTGGTGTCAATGTATCTGAAGATTTAACCTAGTCTCCTTTCCTTTTTATGGTCTTTTAGTTGATGAAAATTGTGGATTTTACATTCAACATCAGATAGAAGATATTCTTACATTTTTAAACTGTATATCTTGGTAGGTAATATATCTTAACCCTTATATGAATGTACATATATAGTCTGATAATAACTCAATATAACACAGAGGTAATCTTTTTAGCAGACACTCTTAGCCAGAGCGACTTACAGTAGTGAGTGCATACTTTTTCATACTAGTCCCCCGTGGGAATCGAACCCACAACCATGCTCTACCAACTGAGCCACACGGGAAATGTCATCAATGGGTTATTTAATACAAAATAATAATTATTATACCATATAAAATTGAATACTGTAAAAGGTATTAGAAGGATGTTTTATTATGATTGTTTAACTTAATATTTTTTATGACTTATTTAACTGATTGTTTAATATATTATGTTTATTATATCACAGATTGTTATAAAACTATTATGTTATTTTCTGTATTTATCTGTCTATAAGGCATTTGGAGGAGGCATTGTCATGGAATGCCTTTGAAGAAGAGAAGATGGGTTGAATTCAGTGCAGACATTTAACATTGTTGATTTTTACAATGTAAGAAGAGCTGCCTCATTACTGAAAAGTAACCGACTTAAACCGTTGCTGGCAACAATTGCTGTCAAGCCCCCCAAAAAATGGCCCGTGTCCCATAGGCGCAACTTTATTTTTCTGTGTAGAAAAATGCAAGGAGGTTCTGCCATGGTGCCCAGATTCATGGTCAACGCCTCCATAATGGCACCTAACCCTTAGCCTGCAAGCAAGCAATTTATCATGACTGTGCACTATTTCCTCAGCTTCCGAGAACACATTCCCCATTTAATATTGAAATTACAGTAACATGGCAATCCTCATTGTAAATGTTTATACAGTACATGTGCTTCTTAGGGAACTAGAAGTTAGACTGTTAAGCTTTTTTATTTTTAAAGCAAATGTCCTTGGGTTATGTACTTGTGAAATACTGTACCTGTGCTTATAGTTGTGTAGGTACAGATGTGGTTTGTGGCTATAGCCAGCCATGTCCAAAAAATATCCTTACTTTCACAGGGACACATTCCACTCTACAACTAAGCAATATGAACAGAGAAAACTGACACTTCAAATCTTACACATTTTGGACATTGAAATGTGTGACACACTGATATGATATTATATCACAGACAAATAACAAATAAAAACACTCTCTTTATTCTTAATCAAATAGCTAAACAGCTTTGATATACTGTTGAATCAGATTGTGGTGAAAGGTGTCTTATGATGACAATGATGAGCCAAAGAGGCCCAACACGGTTGTATGGTGTTCTGCCTTAGAGTTGTCCTGCTGTGGCTATGCTATATAACGTTACAGCATAGCCATGCACAATTACATTGAAAAAAAAGTATGCGTCCTTTGTCTGTCACAAATGTTGAATACAATTATATTTGAACTTACTCTGCCAATTGTCCGTGGGTCGAAATCTGCGACAAAATATCCACAGGAAAGCATTATTAAACCAACTTCGAAACGCGGGTCTCTGTGTGTGGCAATCAATATTTGTTTGCTCGTGACCTAAGGCATGTGCACAAGACGGAGGTACATGCACAAGATGCATGCATACTAGCCGAAGTCTTGCAGGTGTATACATGATTTTGCGGATGTGCCAGGTGATGGCAATTGCAAGGGCAGTACCGGCACTCTAAAAAGTTGGGTAAATAATACTTTCCTGTGGATATTCTGAAGGACCAACCTCACAGATAACAGGTAGAGTAAGTTCAAATGTAATCGTATTGAACATTCTGTCTTGTAAGGAAACTTTTTTTCACACTGTATACCAAGAATTGGTATCAGTCTGATTTATTAGGCAAGCCTTGTTCTCCTCTTTCTGAATACCAGGGGAGGATGGGTCACACATCTTCTTTATTGATTCTTCATCAAAAACTCTTATCTTCCCCTCCTGCTCTCCTTGCTTCCTTCTGATGCTTTGAGGAGGTGGCAAGGAGAACAGACACAAGGAATCAAGCAAGGACTTTTGAGATCACCCTGGTATCCTCACTTCTATCTTCTATCTGGTTTCCAATTTCACATTTCGTAAAATGTTTCTCTATCCATTTACTCACTAGCATGAAGAAAATTAGGATGAGTGAGACATTTGAATGAATTTCTCCTGATGAGTATGTCTTCCATTTTGATAAGGAGCAAGGTTTTTTTGTGTAAAAACTCTCTCACCATTGGTGCCCAGAGGTCATTGCTGACAGAAGCCGGAGGTCACTGAGATAAATCCACAACATTATTTCATACTAGTGGGTGTCACCATTACCTCATCGCGAGACCATGAGCCCGACTCATGTCCACTACACGGGCATTTTAATAAGATTTTTGGTTTTATCTTGTTTGATATGTTGTCTTTTCAAGCAATAAAAAGCCACCACTTTATATGTTCCCTCTGGCATACAACATAAGGTATGCAGTGAGACACTCTGAGGGCGCATCCTCTCAAGACCCTGAGGTGTGTTGTGTCATATGGTCCCATGCTGAGCACCCCCCACCCCCGTCTCTACAGCACTCCTGTGTTAGCTTACTGTAGAGCAAAGAGCTGTACACGTTATTTGAATAAAATGTAGGATTGACTAAAGCGTGTCTATTGTATGTTATATCTCTGTTGTATCTTTGAATGCGTTAACCTGGATTATCTAGTTTGATGACGAACACAAGCTCTGAAGTCTACATACATACATATAGAGTACATACAGTGCCTTCAGAAAGTATACACACCTCTTGACTTTTTCCACATTTTCTTGTGTTACATCCTGCATTTAAAATGGATTACATTGAGATTGTGTGTCATTGGCCTACACACGATACCCCATAATGTCAAAGTGGAATTATGTTTTTAGAAATCTTTACAAATTAATTAAAAATGAAAAGCTGAAATGTCTTGAGTCAATAAGTATTCAACCCCTTTGTTGTGGCAAGCCTAAATAAGTTGCATGGACTAACTCCAATAATAGTGTTGAACAAGATTTCTGAACGACTACCTCATCTCTGTACCACACACATACAATTATAAGGTCCTTCAGTCGTGCAGTGAATTTCAAACACAGATTCAACCATAAAGATCAGGGAGGTTAAATAAGGTCACCTATTGGTAGATGGGTATAAATAAATAAAAAGCAGACATTGAATATCCTATCAAATCACATTTTAATTGTCACGTGCTTCGCAAACAACAGGTGTAGACTAACAGTTAAATGCTTACTTACGGGCCCTTCCCAACAATGCAGAATACAAAAATATATACTGTACATTAATAATACTAATAATAGAAGAAGAAAATAATAGTACACTCTAACAATTAGGGGTTCAACAAGGGTTCTTCGAAGATCCTCAAAGTTCTTCGAAGAACCTTAGGGTTCTTGGCACTGAAAATGGCCCCCAAAAGGTTCTTCTAAGAACCCCATAGGAGGTGGGGTTAATTGAGGAACGTCCTTAGTTGGTGGGGGTTCTTGCAGGAACCTATCTGCCCAACTGAAACATTTGGATTTGAAAGGACAGCAGGTGAAGGCACTTAACTGAAAAATGTAAAGCTTTCCTCAATTGAAGGTAAGGTTTGTCCCTTGTATGATCTAAATTGATATTGTTTTATGATGATACCATCTATCTTTTCATATTTATGCAAAACTTTCTAAAACAGAGAGTGGACACAATTCAATGGATATCAATCAACAAAGACGTAAGTTTGTAGGCTAT